AGACGAGGCAAAAATTCGCGCCAAGGGGAAAGTCTAGACAAAGACAAAACAGACAGTACAACTACGAACAAGCAAGATCCACAAGACTTGCCGGCAGGCCGGCGGATTCCATTAATAAATTGGGATTCCCGGTAATATCCTGTAAATATCCCATAGTTTCCTTGTTTGATACTATTCTCATAAATGTCCCATTCATACTAGACCTAGCATAGGTTTATGGTATATATATATTTTTTAAATAGGCTGTTTATGGAATATGCAAGGGATATTCATGAGATATCATGAGATATTAATGGAATATTGGTAGATGCCCATCGGCAATCAACCGTGGCTGGGGAATCCGCGGACGAGCCATGGAGGTTTTAATGTGAATTTGCATCTGTGAATGGAAAATGTCAATTGACATGCTTGATTACTAGAGAGTGTATCTATAGTTCAATTGATGTTTTCATGGGGTGTATAAACCTAACTGTAAAACTGGCCCCGGGATTTCTGAGGTTCAAAACCACTGTTGCTTGATGATTACAATGGGGTAATCACCTAATCACTAGTTCAACAGCAATAATGGGATAATTCTGGGATATAACATGATATAATGGGGTATATAACTTGTACAACGAGCTTGGTACACCCCATTGCAACAGGATGCTTGTTCTTGATTCAGTGGTACAGTGGTACACATGCTGGAGGCTGCATCCAAGCCTAGTTGGACCACCAGCGCCCGAGTGGTTTGCAAGGGGTACTCTCCCGAAAACCAACGTTGGGCAAAAAAATCCACTTGAGACCGTGCCATAGGTTCATGTTAGCAGACCTCAGGTTTTTTCATGCAGTTCCATGTTGGATTTGGGGAGTGTACCCTTCGTCCTAATAGTTTAAACATGCATCCCTGGAGGGTTTTGGATATATCGTATCTGTCTGTAATGGTCTGTAGTTGTTTTCGAAAGCAGCCGATATTTGTCTACACGAAGCAAAGGAAGCAACTCCACCTCAAAGCGGAACAAACAAACAAGTTTACTTGAAATATCTTAAGTTTACGTTTGCAGGTTATAACACGGTATAAATAAATAAATAAATAAATAATAAAAAATATATATATATATATGTATACGCAGTAATGGTGTAACACATGACCATACCCTAGGGTAAACATACAAAAAAGATCTGGAAAACCCATGGTTTCCCATTCGGATTTTTTATCTACAAATGGTGGGTTTTCCACATAGAACTGTTAGTTTACCCTAGGTAAATTCAAGTGATACAACAGTGGGATATTCTACGTATAAGTAGTACCCATGAATATTAATAAAATTTCTATTACCTTTTTACATATATAGATAGATATCTCAGTCATAGTAATATATGGATATTAACTCTTTATTTTACTTTTTATAATATTATATCAATATATAAACAACTAGATGTTAAATAGATATAAATAAATAAATAAATAAATATAAATATATATATATATCAGTAATGGTAATATTATGTGCATATATATATATACACATATCATATATCCGAATGTCCCAGTCATATCCCGGAGAGGCTGCGTTTGTTGCACCTCCACGGCAATGCCTTGGCCACGCTGCGTGGCCTCGATGCCGCCGGGGGACCTGGTGGTCATGGTGGTCATCCCATCTATAAATGGATGAGAACCGAGGGTACACTCATGACTTAGGAAACCTCCAATATGTGTTTTTGATGTTTTTTTAATGATATATTATGATATGATACGGTTTTTGATGATTTTAATCGGTGATTCACTGGGTATTCGTTGGGGGTATCATGGGGTAGATAACCAACACACGGATATATGGGTTTGCCTGGAAAGGGTGTACCCCCGAAATGGCACTTTAGTGCAGAAAATGATGATACACCATTCTAAGTATGGAATTGGGCCTAACCAATTTCCAGTCAAACTCATCTATATGTTATATTATTAGAGAGATACTATGGAATTTATGCAGATTATAGTTTTTCCTTGCCATATTCATTTTTGAAATATTATAAACCTATATATATATATACGTCGATTTTTGGATATAAACATATAATATATACATATATATTATGTCATTGTACTGTGGAGATACCATTCACAAATTATGGATATGTTTGTTATACTGTACTCTTCCATAAATATGTTTTTACTGGTACAATAAGGTTGCAAATATAGTTTTGTAGAAATTCTAGATCATTCCATTTACTGTATTTCTATAGTAAAATCATATGGTTATAAGAATATGAATTCTATACTTGATGAACTGATTCTACTGTATTTGACAGAATAAACCATTGACATTATTTATTTGGATACTGTATGTTTGTGGGAAATATTGCGAGATAACTTATCCATATATGTATGGACCTGGTTTTGATGGTATTTATGACACTATAATTTATCATAAGTATTTATGCGATTGTACATAGATATATACATACACATGTTGCATATAATTATGTTTTTCTTGATGGTTTCCAAAAGTAATGTTCATGTTTGTATCCGATACCAACGTATTTATACAACAGGCAGGCATGGCTTCAAATATGGGTTTATTCACATAAACCTAAGAAACTAAACATGGGCTGATGGTTGCTTATTGGGTTTGATTGTCTCAAATTTGGGAATCCGAAATCTCACGGTAAAAACATGCTCCCATGAAAATGATTGAGCATTGCAACTAAGTTCATCAATTTGGTAAACCCAAACCCTAAAAGAAAAGGCCAGCCAATTATTCAAGTCTTAGGAGATTTATTTATATAACAAATTATTTAAGGTATCATTATCCCACTAAAACTCCAAATTTTCATGATTTTCCCATCAAGACTCCAACGAACAGATGGATTTTTCATCTAAACTTCCATTTTTCAAAGGGATTTCCCATGGCCACCCAGGTCTGTCCCCTCTTGGAAGAGCTTACGCTCTCCTCCAACGACCTTCAAAACCTGGAGGGGATTCAGAAGCTGCAGAAACTCAGGCGCAGCACGTCCTTGGAAGGACTTGGATGGCGTAAACCACAGAACAACCCATGAAAATAGGAAGAAACCATCCATTTTATGGGCATGAATCCCGCTTTTATTGGTTAAATTTTTATGATATCCCCATTTTCCCGTATTTCCCATAAAAAAAATGGTGAAAGGGGGAACTAGGACACGAGAGGTTGGAGGTTGGTTGGGAGGTTGTTATGTTTTTGTTCAATATTGTAAATCTAAATGTTTGACTGTTTCTTTTTGATTGTCTTGCTAAATGTTTTGTTGAGGTTGTTGTGATAATGTTTGGTTTGGATGAGGGTAGGTTTTGTTGAGGGTGTTTTGCTTGTTATGATTTTAGGTTTATGTTCAATGTTTGTTCCTTATCTTTGATGCTTTATGTGTTGTATGTTCTGGGGATGTTTTGTCCCTAACTTTTCTGGGACTTTCTGTTTGAATAAGGGTAGGATTTGTTTAGGTTGTTGTGCTTTAAACATCTGGATATGAGGGGCATGTTGCGTTAAGGTAGTCTATGGTTTCTTGGTGTTTTATTCGTTTCATTTCTTCATCAGTTTCCTTTTGTTGTTCTATTTGTTTTGGGTCAGGTTTGTTCAGGTTGTTTTTATGACGTTGGGTTCTTTCGTGTCTTGACATTTTGCTTCTTGAAATGTCAATCTTACAAATGGGACATTCAACCTTTTCTTTCTGTTTCTCAAGCTTTTGTCCTTTATATTGTTTATAACGTTCCCGCTGTTTTTGTCTTAATTCTTCTCGGTGATTTTCTCTATATTGTTGTTTATATTCAGAATATTTTTGACATAGTGCCTTTCCATTGTCCAAGTTGTCCAGCGGCTGTGTATTTTTACATTTTGAACATTTCCTACCTTTATGTTCATTCATTAAAGTGTTCTGGGACTATATCTTTAAATGGGTTTCTGGGTCTCAAAGATTACTTCATAATATGTTTAAGCGGAAGTTCCAGTTTCATGACTTTGGCAGAGCTGAATGTCCTTCAAACTCTTCTTGCACATCATCACAGCCTTGGAGTTCGTGAACAACATCCTCATTGCACCTCGTCAGCACTGGTGTTCTTGCAGTCCCAGACTTCTGCTGTCTTGTGTTGCATTGCATCACATTGCATGACATGACCTGTTGCTCATTGCATTTCGCAGCACTGGCTGTTGCTATGCTGTTGCTCAACATGTGCAGACAAAAACGCTCAACTCCTGATGGCTTCGAGAGCTTGGGCGTGGCTTCGCGCTAATGCAGCACCGCTGGGCGTTGGGACGCCCGTTGTCGGCGTCTTAGCCTCCTATGCGTGGAATGCAACTGAGACCCACCGGATGGCGCACAAAATCCGCAGAGGATACTTCCAACCAAAGGCTCCTGCGGACTACGACCACCGGTTTTGCCTGTTTGACAGGTACATGATGGAGAAAGCTTCGATGGTCGGCCTCGTTGGGTTAAAATCCACAGGGAAGTCCAGCACTCTCTCGCACTTCCTGAGAGAGAAGCCGAACCCGTTCTACCTCAAGCTCACGGATGCCAACGTCTACGACGCAATGTATGGCCAGATGAAAGATTCAGTCCTTTGTCTCCCCTTCTTTGCACATCATCTCCGGTGGGACGCTAGCAAGACCAGTGAGAAGATCGTCATCGAAGTCTTCGAGCTGGTGCGGGAGCAGACAGGCTCGCCGGTGCAGGTGGGGGTGGATGTGGTGTTGCCCGCCAGTGCAGTGGTCTCACCAAAGGCAGACCAAGCAGTGAAGACTGCGCAGAGTGTGCTGTTGGGAACGGCAAGCTCAGTCCCAATTTCCACCGGAATCCACGTCCACCAGCTCGTCAAGGATGTGAAGTGGCTTTGTGCTGACGCGAGGGTGGCTTCGGCAGTCATAGCATCCAGCGAGGTTTTGGAGCTTCTGAGTGTGAATGAGCCAAGGCTTGCGAAGCTGATGGCAGAGGAAATGCCACTCGAGAAAGCCAAGGAGTACCTCCAGCACATCCACGCCAAGGGCTACACGGAAGAGATGCTCAAGAACATCCCGCGAACCTTCGAGAGCCTTCAACAGTTCAAGATAGCACAGGACAAAGATGCATTTTACAAGAAGGAGATGGAGGAGTGGATGATTTAAGTAGAGGAATCTCAAGAGCACTGCTCCCACGACGGCAAGGATGGAGGTCTCAGGGCTGCGAAGGTTCTCTACAGCAAAGCGCTTGTTGGAGCAGTCGACTACAGGGACATTCGCCAGCACTGCAAAGATGTGCAGAACTTCATGGCGAATTTCGTGAGACCCAACCTCTTCACCCCCACAGGTGCGAAGTACAAGTTCCAATTCGATTGTGTAGCCGAGGCAGCGAAGACTGTGTTCGGCCTGTAGCCACTGTAAGTTTGAACAGGTACAGGGTGTAGAGTGAACAGCAGAGAGATGCAAAAGTGTGAGCATCAGCATCAGAGCACGCGATGATTTTGTCAAAAAAACAAAATTACTTTACTTCGTGTGATCCCCACCATGACATTTATACATGTTCTTACTGGCACATCTTCTGGCATTCTATCTGACATATCTTCTGGCATTCTATCTGGCAAATCTTCTGGCATTCTATCTGGCATATCTTCTGGCATTCTATCTGACATATCTTCTGGCATTCTATCTGGCATATCTTCTGACATATATTCTGACATATCTTCTGGCATTCTATCTGGCATTCTATCTGGCATATCTTCTGACATATCTTCTGGCATTCTATCTGGCATTCTATCTGGCATATCTTCTGGCATATCTTCTGGCATTCTATCTGGCAAATCTTCTGGCATTCTATCTGGCATATCTTCTGGCATTCTATCTGACATATCTTCTGGCATTCTATCTGGCATATCTTTCTGGCATATATTCTGACATATCTTCTGGCATTCTATCTGGCATATCTTCTGGCATTTCTTCTGGCATATCTATCTGGCATATCTTCTGGCATATTTTCTGGCATTCTATCTTCTGGCATTCTATCTGGCATATCTTCTGGCATTCTATCTGGCATATCTTCTGGCATTCTATCTGGCATATCTTCTGGCATTCTATCTGACATATCTTCTGGCATTCTATCTGGCATATCTTCTGGCATTCTATCTGGCAAATCTGATGCATTCTATCTGGCATATCTTCTGGCATTCTATCTGACATATCTTCTGGCATTCTATCTGGCATTCTATCTGGCATATCTTCTGGCATATATTCTGACATATCTTCTGGCTTTCTATCTGGCATATCTTCTGGCATATATTCTGACATATCTTCTGGCATTCTATCTGGCATTCTATCTGGCATTCTATCTGGCATATATTCTGACATATCTTCTGGCATATCTATCTGGCATATTTTCTGGCATATTTTCTGGCATTCTACCTGGCAAATCTTCTGGCACTCTATCTGACATTTTATCTTCCTACATGAGGTCCGGCAGGGAACACTGGGCGTGGATGGTCGTGGTTGAGGTCCGGCAGGGAACACTGGGCGTGGATGGTCGTGGTTGAGGTCCGGCAGGGCACACTGGGCGTGGATGGTCGTGGTTGAGGTCCGGCAGGGAACACTGGGCGTGGATGGTCGTGGTTGAGGTCCGGCAGGGAACACTGTGGATCGCGAGTCGCAGTTGAGCAGGAGGACGAGGAGGACAACGAGACGAGGAGGACAACGAGAGGAGGAGGACAACGAGAGGAGGAGGACGACGAGAGGAGGAGGAGAGGAGGAGAGGAGGAGGAGGAGGAGAGGAGGAGGAGGAGGAGAAGGCAACTTAGATAAAATCTAACAACCCTCACCTGGCAGGTGGGGAATGAACAAAGCTGTAGCGCAGAAGTTGCAATCTTCGCGCATTGTTTGTTTCTGCGTTCCCTCATGCCACCCACCAGTTGAAGCGCTTGCGCTGAGGTATTGACATGATGGAGGAGAAGGGGGCGGACTACTCTCCCCTGCACACACATCCCACACATATAATATAGTATATCCCCCCTACCCCACTCATTCACCCCCCTGTTTGTCAGAAGGGACAGCGTCGCAACGGTCTCACCAAAATATGGGAACGGGAAAGGGTTTCAAACATATATATATATATATATTTAAATTTGTTGTTTCATTTTTAAAAATCCATCAACTGGGAGGGAGCGACACGCTCTGGGGTGTGGAAGTTGCCAAAATGCATATCTCCCAGTTGATGGTGGCGGATTTTTTACAAGTGCTTCGCTTCAATCCTGACCTCGACCATCAACGACGTGGTTGGCACACAACTGACATAAAATGCTATGAGACTTTCCGCGCAATCTGGCATAGAATTTATGAGACATTCACGACATGAAATCTTTGAGACACCTGTAGGAACAGTATTTCAACAAGTGTCCTGAACTGCTCTTTTTTGACCCCTCTTGACACCATTTGAGGACATTTGTTAGGACACCCCATTATTCAACATAAAACCCCAAAATACTTAAAAACATACCGCCTTATATAATTAAGAATTGAATATGCCCTGCTATATGTATATTAACTGTATGAAGCAAGAAATGGACGAAGACCTTTTCGACCAAATGGCGGCAGCACTACACCAATCCAGCAACCCCCACAATCCACCAACAGCAACATCCACAAGATGGAAACAGCCAGAGGCTATTTTAACGACTTCAAGAAGTCGTTATAAACCCGACGGAACTTACGACAAGAAACCGTTAGACCCCAATTATTTTTCAAAGTATTATCAAAAGAGATTATCAACTCCTTTCACTTGCCCTGACTGCGGACGCACAATAACAAGCAAATCAAATCTATCAAAACACCGTCAAACCAACGTTTGTATGAGCAACAGACGCCATTGATGAAACGTTGAACTCAAACCTCAATCCCAGAAATTCCAACAGGAGACCAAAATCCAAAACTACTTAAAGAAATATTACCTTATATAGAATAGAGAATATGGGAGAGGGTGTAAGGTTGAAAAATCAGACTAATATTGAAAACCAACACAACCAACAATCCAATCAATCTCAACAACCTCAACAGATAAATTCAACTGAAAAACTACTTAAAGAAACATACACTAATAATGATATAGAACATAATATAATGAACACTTCAGACCAGATTGTTTTAGATTACATTTTATCAAGTGAAACAGGCGAGATATTGAAACGGAATGGAGAAGAACTTAAGAAACTGAAGATAGGTGAGAAGACCTACAACTTTGAAAAGAACAAACCCATCACGAACAGATTGAAAACCAAATTCAACAAAATTAGACAGACTATGGACTACAAAAGATACGAATTGAAAGAGAAGAGAGGCATTAGATGGATAAATTTAGACAAGAACAAAGCCTTAACAGGAATACAAAAAAGATACAAAGCAACCATCACCGACGAACAGTCAGCATTCAAGAATTATACATCATCTTATGCCATCAGCGACATCAGGGTCAAAGGCGTCAAGGCAATACAATATCTAAAATATCAAGACTTCAAGATAAGAGAATACTTACGAAAGCATAAGGGAATGAAGGTTTTATTACAAACCTTCATTCAGCAACTTCAAGAGCAAGAAGACTAACGAAATTGTGAGAAGAGAAGTTAGGAGCAGAAGATATGAAATAACTAACGAAGACGAAATAACAAATGTATTGAACCAGATGGCAACAGACATTGAACATCAAGCGGAAGTATTAGAAATGTCTGAGAGTGGATTAGTCCTAACACAGATGGATAAGATAAAATTTAACTTTGATAAATACAATCCAACTCGTGGAGGTAAATTCATACCTTTACCTAAATGGGTTCAAAACAAAAAAGCGTGTATCAACATCAAAAACGAACATAATAAATGCTTCAAGTATTCCGTTCAATGTGGTATATGCAAAGTGTATGAGAAAGACCATCCCGAACGACTGTCTCACTCCAAAATATTAGATGATAAACTGAATTGGACCAATGTAAATTTTCCATCATCAAACATTGACATAGATACTTTTGAAGAAAACAATGATGGAAAACTTATGATGTCATCTCGTGATAGTCTCCTTGCCATATATTATAATATTAGATTTTAAAATTATCAGCAATAAAAAAATATACTTAAAGAAAAAATGCCTATATATAGTAAGAGTGAATAAGATGACTAATTTGACTGTGGATGTCGTATAATGACAGATGTTATAACCCTGAACGATACAAAGCAACCTAATTGGAACTACTTGCTCAAAACCTTCGTGAATGTTTGTGGCAAGTGCTACAAGAAGCAAATGAAATTCCAATATATGGAAAACACACTTATGGAGATGGAAAAGCAAAGAATGGAAATGTTTTTGGAAAATGAGGATGAAGAACAAGACACATACTTTGACCTGACAGAGTTGAAGGAACATCTCAAAACCCTCCCACCCAATGAAAGACACAAAGTGAAGGATTCTAAGAGGTTAAGAAACCTCGCAAATGGACAAGACCCCAACTCAGGAATGAATGAAATTGATATGGTCATAAGAGAACTGGAAGAGGAGGAAAGGGAAAAGAAAAACCAACCCGGACTCAAAAAATGAAAGAGACCGCAAAAACTACTTAAAGAAAAAAATACCTATTATAGTAAGAGGATGCTATTTACTTATAAAAACTGCGGATGTTGTAAGAAAGAAATGACTGACCTAAAGGATTTATTGAACAATATTTTTCCCGCTGGAATTTGTGATGAGATATGTGATTACAACCTTCACTGTTCAAAATGTAAAAACTTAAACGATAAGGAGCGTAGATACATAGATTTCAATTATCATTTTGACTATTTTAATGATAAAAAACTGACGAGAGTAGAAAAGACAATCTATTTCTTTAAAACAAGGATGGAGAAATCACCTATTTATGTGTCCAACACGAACCGAACAAACACTCGGCAAATGAAAAGAGAAATTGATGTTTTAATGGATACATTCAAACTCAAGCAAGAATTCAGACATGACAAACTGTTCTTAATGGCGATTAAGTCTTTTGTGAAAAGGGAGTGGAAAACTACCTATCACTTCCTTAAAAACTTTCACGACCTTACATATATGACATATTGTAAGAACAAACGGGAGTGGTGGTTTACTCAAAACGATTGGACTTATACATTCAGACATAGGGAGTTTAAGGTAAATGACATTTTGAAAATATTTTTGCGTGAATATGTTGAAGAACTGTTCAACGGTTATGAGAAATATTTGAACATAGAAGAAATAAAAGAGTATCTACAAAAAGTGGTAAATACTTAAAGAAAAAATAACTATATATAATAAGAGAAAATGAGTAAAGCAAAAATTCAGGTTATAGATAGAGATAATATCGGTATATATGCTGACTTTGGTAGTGAAAGCGAAG